GGCTTAAAACAAAATGATTTTATGAGGGAACTTAGTAAGCCTTAAATTGATCAGAAAACAAGTTAGTGTTGTATCAAAAGGAAGGGACTGGACTTTTCTTGTCTTCCTGGAGAATGATTAGGTTGATTGTAGCTTTTTTTTTTTGTCAATCGTTTAGGTTTCTAAATACAAGAGAGGGCTAAGAAATGGACCAAAAGCCCTTAAACCTACTCCCGTGATCATCCGTTGCAGGTAATGAGATACATTTTCTGTGGTCCCTTGACGTTTTTGATGGTTCTTAATCTATCCATTGGTTAAGTTTTGTATTAAATCTGGCTTTGGGAGTCAAAAGTAGGCTTTTAACCTCAATGTTCAATGTTCTATTTCTTCTGGTGGAGAACTACGAGTACTCACTGAAATCATGAATGGACTTTGATGAAAGAGCTTGTTGTGTTTGTTGCTCTGGAAAAACCTTAGGACTGCAACTTGTTTATCATCATTTTTCCATTCTTTAGCAGAATGTTTTTGTTACCACCAGCTGACACTTCTATGTTTCCAGGAGTTGTGGGCGAGTTAAGCTGCCACATTTCTACTGCTGCAGCGGTGAACGCGCAATACCGGATGAGCAAAGTAATTCAAACAACTGATCACGACTTACTATGTGAATTTAAAAGCCTTTGCTGAATAGGGTCGAGAATCAAATGCTGTTCTTAGTGGAGGGCTCAAGTGCTAATGATGTAGACTTAGTTTTACTCTGTTTTGGATTTCTACTGCAGAATCAATATGCTGTTTGAACATATGTTGTTACTTGGAGTTTATGATCGATTCTACATTCACAAGAAAAATAAGATGGCCATGTCCCCAAAGTCGTGTGTGTTTGATTGGTTCTCATTAGTACTGCCAAATTATGCGGTTTTACTGCCACAGTGGAGCTTACGAAGCAACACGTGTCATCATTTGTTGGGCTAAACAATGGTCAACCAGAATCTATCTATGATTTGCTTCGTTCCATCAGTTTCGGCCGCCACGTGGCATCCACTCGCAGAAAGATCCAACGGCTGTAAAAAGCAGAACAACTTAATATGTACACACACCTTTTTACTTACTATCTCTACCAGTCGGCGAGAGTAAAAGAGAGAGGCGTTTCATGTACGGACCTTCGTCTTCTTTCTCGTCGTCAATGGGGTAAGTCCAAAATTGCAGAGAAGCTTCGAAAATCAAAGTCACTTATTCCTCTACGTTTCTTCCTTCATCATCAAGGTATCTATCACACACCTCTTGGAGTTTTCGTGCTATGCTCTGTATAACCAATCAATCACCATGACGAATGTACACAGTGTGATAGATAACCATTTCGAATCTTATGCTTTTGATTTCTCTCTAGTATCATAGATTTTACAGATTGTTGATTTCTTATGCTTCCTATGTTTCTCTATTGGGCGATTCTCAAATGTCTCATAAGAGTTTTTTGTTCTCTTTGTGATAGCATCGATTTGGTTTGAATTGAGCATTAAAAAAGAAGAAGATGAAGTTTGGGAAGATATTTAAGAAGCAAATGGTACCAGAGTGGGTAGAAGCTTATATGGACTATAATGGCTTGAAGAGGATTCTAAGAGAGATACGTAGCTACAAGCACAATAGGCTGCGTAGAGTAGCCTCGAAAGTTTCGCTGCATCGTTCGTTTAGTGGCTTGTCCTTCCATCCCAGGAACAGTACTACTGAAAATACAGGGGACATTGAGGATCAAGTCATAAAAGTTGACACGGTGCAGCAAGATGGTTCTCGTAAGTTGTACGAGACAAAGTTTCTAAAGATATCTGAAGAANGAAGTGAGTTCGAAGAATCTTTCTTCAAAAAGCTCGATGAGAATCTAAACAAAGTTAACAAATTTTACCGGGACAAAGTTAAGGAAGTGCTGGAGGAAGCGGCTTTGCTAGATAAACAAATGGATGCACTGATCGCATTGCGGGTCAAGGTGCAAAAACCTGATGCAAATAACCTGAATTTGGAGAAGCATCCCTCCGATAAGGTCGTGGTAGGTGCATCTGATAGCACAATGAGAGCACCGGGTAAGTATATACGAAAAGAATGTTTTGTAAGACGCATCTTATGCTCAGATGGTTTTCTATTTGGTTTATTGAATTCTTGATATATTTCCAGGCTGCGCGAACACAGATATGGTACACGGTATTGAAAGAACTAGCATTCCAGAAGAAGAGGCCTCCCATATTGTGGCTGACATTGTCCCGGTTTCTCACACTGATGGGAACAAAGAGAAAGTCAGTGGTACTGGTGATACGCAGGATCTCCATGAAATACTCGAGCGTGTGAAGATGAATGATGTGCTTGAATCTCCTATTTCTACATTAAAAGGGGTTTTTGGAGATTCTAGAAATGATGAACCAATCTCCAAGAAAGGATTAAAAAGAGCAGAGGAACAGTTGAGGCTTGTATTTAGTGAATTCTATCAGAAACTCCGCCGTCTGAAGGAATACAGGTGAGGAGAAGGTTCAGTCAGAGCTCAATTTCTCAAGCAAATTTTTTTTATATTGTGTTGCTACTGATATGTCTATGTTTGTGTAATTTGAATCAGTTTCATGAATCTTCTGGCATTTTCAAAGATCATGAAAAAGTACGAGAAGGTTAGATATGAAGAGCTTCTTCTATATCTTACAGATTCGTTCCTGTAGAGCATAATACATGCATGAGCAACTGAGTCACACGATGTGTTCATTTTCTTTGTTAATGTGTAGATTGCTTCGAGGAATGCGTCTAGGAACTACATGAAAATTGTGGATAATTCATTGATTGGGAGTTCTGATGAGGTTTGTGGAGTTTTCAGACTTAAAAATCAGTTTTCCGTAATGTTTGTACATCAACTTTTTTGTTCACTATATCATGATTTAGGTTAACAGGCTCCTGGAGAGAGTAGAGGTAACTTTCGTTAAGCACTTTTCAAGCGGAAATCGAAGACAAGGCATGAAGTTTCTGAGGCCAAAAGTCAAAAGAGAAAGGCACAGGGTTTCATTCTTCTCTGGTAAAGGAGTTG